CGACTGCGATCGAAACTGGTATCTCGGCCTCTTTTCCCCAAGCGCTGCGAGAAAAAGGCACGCCGTTTCGCTAGAGCCTGCAGATCACTCGGATATTCAAAGAGATTATCTTCATCAGACTCTCCATTTAACTCTTCAGATGTCATAGAGCTTAGTGAGCTGCCAAGAAGAACGATCAATGTGCAGAAAAATAAGAGGCTGTAATTTCCAATCTTGCTCATTTCCGTAATGAAAAATCTGCTTAAACCTGAAAATATCATAATTAAAAATATAAAATATAAAGAATTAGGTTACCGTAGGTATTCTTAAAAAAATATTGAGAAGTTCTACAATATTTTTATACAAGAGAAAATCAGTTATGTATAATATTGCTCGCTATGAATTTATCACCATACAGAAATTATGTGACATGGTGCGTGCCATAAGCAAACATCGCCATAGAAATCTAGAAAAGTCATTTATAGTTTTTAGCAAACTTTACAGTACTAATAATAAATATTAAAGCATTATAAGCATGAGTTATCTTAAATATACTCTTAAGTTGCATTATAGAAAAAATCGTATATCAATAGAACATGGCAAAAATTTTCAAATTTAGACTGGTTATTTAAAAATTTGGAAAATTTGGTATAAATTGATACTATTTTGAGTAAAATAAATTGTTATTACAAAAAGATTACTGGGGTATTGTTTAGTAATTATCTACCTTTTATATCTAATCTACGATCAGTAATAATACACCAATAGAAAGCTGTGCCTAAATAAACTAATAGTTTTTAATTATTACTTCTTAATACAAACACACTTTATGCTTATTTATTAATATTTATTCAAAGGGTGCAGCAATTTCTCCTACTTTCATTTGTTCAATTCACTTATTTTTTTCGCCAAATTTTTACAACCTAGCAACAATTTTATAATTCCATATTGTCCGGATTCCAGTTTCTAGTCACCTACAGCCACTCTACCCCAAGAAATAGTAACTTTCATTACCTCACATTTATAGCTACTTCAAAATACTCACTTTGACCAAATATAAATAGTTCTCATTCGCAGTCCTTCGTTGTGGCTAAAGTAAATTCACGCTACCGTTTCGGTCGTTCACTTCGCAAGCCTTCAAGTAGAAAGAATGGCTGACTCCAGGACTACTCCAGACCTTCAGCTTTAGGCAGCTACTAGCCATCGCCTCGCGCTCTACCATTGATGTCATGCCTACTATAACGCCAGCGGTATAAACCTCTTTACCTTGGTAGCTTCGTAAATAATTTAAGCCAGCCATTCCTATAGATATTAAACGTATATTTCCTCTAATACTGCTCATTCAGTGCAAGTCGGTTGTACCTACGCGTAAAAGGTACTACAGCCAGTCAGTATCAATGTCTCCAAGCAAGATCTTTCAGCGACCGTAATGCTGTCTGCCCATTGGCAGAATTATCCT